GGGAAAAAATGGAAAAATAACCCAACAAAACACACCCAAACCCCTCCTCCTTCGCACTTCTCTAGATAAGGAAAGTTCCCGCCCGTTGGAATTGTCTTCAGGGTCCCCAGCCTTTAGTGTTCAGGGGGTGAATAAATAGCCGGGACGTGGGTGCTGCGGGTGTCAGTGGCCAGGGTGTCCTTTGCCCTGAGGGTGCAGTGGGGCAGAGGCTCTTCTTGGACTGGGGCTTTGAGTGCGGAGAGGTGACCCTGGGGTGCTGGGCGGGAGGCTGTGGTGGGTGCCACCATGCCCCTTGAGCAGCTCAAGTTCAAGGAGCTGGGTGAGGAGGAGCCTGCCTGGAAGGAAGAGAGCCTGGACAGTGTGAAGGCACTGACGGCCAAGCTGAAGCTCCAGACGCGGAGACCTTCCTACCTGGAGTGGGAAGCCCGAGTGCAGCGCCAGCCCTGGCGCACTCAGACCCGCAGGGGGACGAGGGGGGCACAGCAGAGCATGGGGCACCCCGAGGACCAGCGTGATGGGGGCATCTGTGGGTTCGCCACCATGGAGGCGGTTCTGGAGTGGCTCAGGATGGAGCTGGTGAGTTGCTGCTGAGGGGGACTGGGGTGGCAAAGGGCTGACCCCAAGGCAGGGATGGGGCCATGCGGCACAGAGAGAGCACCTGCAGCCCAACCTCATGCAGCAGCAACAGGACGTGCTGTGGCCGAGGTACTTTCAGTTACAACACTGTGCTTTGCTCCTTTGCCCGGCACAGCCCGTGTACGTTGGTTTTTTCAGGGCTCCAGGGGTCATGGCTCTGTCCTGGCCTGCACGTGTCACCCCCATCCTGCCGGCTCTGCCAGTGCGGTGGACTTCATTGGTGTGGTGGCACAGCAGTAGTGGTTCCCATGGGGTGGCGATAGCCATGTGTGTACAAACATGAGCTGCCCATGAGGTGCGACTGCGGCACAGACCCTGTGCTGACCCCAGGGCTCTTTCTGCACATGGTCCCCAGTGGGTTTGTGCTCTGGCCAAACCCTATCCAAGCCCCAGCCCTGCTGCCCGGGCAAGATGATGGTCCCACTCCAGCCCTGATGCCCATCTCCCCATGTAGCAGGAGACAATGGCCCAGCGCTGGCCACAGCAGTTGATGCGCCTGCGGGCGCAGCTGCACCAGCTGAAGGTGGAGCAAGCCTGCCACCAGCACAAAGAGATGCTGGACGATGCTACCTTTGGCCTCGAGGGCTGTGAGGAAGACTCGGATCTGCTCTGCAACATCCCACCCAAGGCTGCCTTCCTTCTCTCCACGCCACTTAAGCACATCGGCGTCACCCGCATGAACATCAGCTCCCGGCGGTTCTCCCTCTGCTGAGAGTGGCAGCACTCCATGGACTGCTCAGCACTGAGCCTATATGGGAGCCTCAGAGGCACCCATGGGTGCATCCAGACTTGTCAGGGCTCAAGAACCCTCCTAAAACCCCTCGGGGACTGTGGAGCAGCATGCAGTGTTGAGCCCTGGTGCTGCCAGCCCTGCCCTAGGAACAGTGCCATGCCACAGTGGCATGGGAAATGCCACTATCCCCACTGGACACAGGGTATTTTGGGGCACCCACTGCCCTGTCCTTAAGGATGGCGGGGTCAACCGCAGTGGAAATGTAGGGAGCACCCCTTTGAGGAGAAAGAGAAGGTGAGAGCTGGCATTTTTCCCTTTTTTGCGTGCATCTGGGCACCTGCCTCAACCTCCAGACATGGGGGACCCGAGGGCAGCAGGGAGGGAATGTGCTTCCATTGCTCCTTCCCCAACTCTGGCTCACAGGGTAGCAACTTCTCACCAGTTCCTGCCAGAAAGACATTGTCTCTGCTCTGGGGACCTCATGACCAGCCTGTCTGTGGGTGTCCCTGGCCACGGGTGGGTGCTTGGGCTGCACGGCTGGAGGAAATGCTTCACCCCAAACCAGCTGCGAATGGACGGGTTGGTTTTGACGCCAGGAGGTGCTGGGGCTGTACTCGGGGTTCAGCCCCCATGCTCCCACCCTGCTCCATCTCCAACCCCCTGCAGCCCTGCACCGGGAGCAGGGCAGCAGCAGCTGGGACTGCCAACACTGCCCTCACCGGAGGGCTTTAGTTTTGGCTTTTTCCCTTCCTTCATTAACACCAAACCCTGCACAAAAGAAGTTGCTGCTTGGTGAATGTGGCTTCCACAGAACCCTTTTTGCAGGTGGCGCCAGGGAAGGTGCGAGGTGACCCAGGGATGCTGTGAGATGACCCAGGGATAACTGGGGGAGGCTGCTTCTCCTTCCCAGGGTAGCAGCAGGACACAGGAAGAACCCAACATGCACCCCAATAGGCTGTGGCACACCCCAGGGCCATGCAGTACTCCCCACCACCCCTTGCCTGGGGCACTGGTGGGGTTGTTGAGCAGGATGGGAAGGGGATGGTGGCTGTCCCTGGGAAACATCCCTGCCCAAGTGGATGCTGTGTCTGGAGCTGTTACCCCCAAGCCCCCTCTCACAGCTGAGCTTCCTGCCCCTGCCTCTGTGGGGCTGGCAGCAGGGACCTGCGGCTTTGTGCTTCATTAAAAAGGCCAAGACAATAGTGTGGTGGTTGCTCTGTCCTTAGCTGTCTCCAAAAACTCGGGGCTGGCAGCCTGGCTGAGGCAAATGGCCCCTCAGCTTCAGCCCCTGTCACCACAGCTCTTGGGGTGCCTGGTTTGGGGTGACCCCATTGTGATGGCCAAAGTGGGGACTGCGGGGTGCAGGATGAGTCCCACAGCCCATGTTAGGGTCTGATGGGGTCATGGTGGGTGCATGGTGCCAGCATGCCCATGCTGATCACCAGAGAAGGCACAGTGCAGAGGACCAGAGGGGCTCAGGTAGCCAGGACTGCCCTGGCAGCGGGGGACAATCCCCTGCCCATCTCTGGTCCATTGCAGGGCGTCTCCCAGCCACAGGACCCTGCTTCCCACCGACTGTGGGGCTCAGCATCCCTTTGCCCACCTGTTCCCTGGGGATCGTTGATCAGGGACACCCAGAACAGCAGCCCTGCATGCCGGGGATGGCAGGAAGCCACCGGGGTTTGTCACTAACTCTTGCGGTTGTGCTTGAAGCTGCGAACCAGCTTCTCTAGAGTTTGCTCATGAGGCAGGAAGCCAGGGCAGGCACTGAGTGAGCAGGGGGCTCGTCTCTGCTCCCCACAGGGTTACCTTGCTCCTTGCTGGGCATGGAGAGGATGTGAGTGGGGACAGAGCCTTTGTCTTGCTGCCGGGCTATGGGAGTCTGAGAGCGGCTGGTCCTTCCCTCACTGCCAACAGGTAATGGGAACCTGGGGTGAGAGGGTTGGCACTGTCCAGATGGGAGCTGGGGAGCACCTGGGTGCATGTGGAGGGTGGGGGGTCCCATTGCACTCTCTGAAGTTACCCCTTGAAGGGATGGAAATGGGGTTTTGGGCTCATCGCTGCAGGGGGAGTGAGAGCATTGGTGCCCAAGCAAGCGATGGGGGAGCCGGGCTGTGATCCGCATTCTTACATGGCCTCCCAGTTGGAGTGAAAGGCGCTGTCACGATGCTCTCTGCCTGCCTGGAAGACCTGCCCGTGGTGGAAGCTCCATCCCCATCACAGGGCTCTCTCCAAGGCCTCATTTTCAGGGCAAAGATGGAGTTGTGTCGTCAAGGCCAAGCTCCCACCTACCTGGTTCTGGGTGAGAGCAGTGTGGGGACTGGCAGCAATTTAGTGCTGGCCCATTGGGGTCTGCTGCCCAGTTTGGGGGGTCAGACACTGAGATATGCCTGGTTTTGGTGCTCTCTCAGCATGAACACCTCCCTGCTGCAATGGCAGCTTTGGGGCCATGGTTCTTCGTGTGTCTGTGAGTCTGTGCCAGTGTGGGGCTGACCATCCAGCTGGGTCACAGCCAGCTTTGGGACATCCGGGTCACCATGGTGAGCCTTGAAGTGTGTCAGGGACAAGGTCAGCCCATCCTTCAGCCCTCCTCATGCCTGCCCATGCTTGTGAACAGGTCAACCAGACCTGGCTGGAGAGTTTTATGCAGAAGGGCTGGCACAGGGTAGCTCCTCCAGTATGAACCAGGGGTCTGGACATGCTCCGGAGGCAGGCACATACATGGCCATGCAAAGACACCCATGCGCAGGCATGCACACACGCAGACATGGCGAGGCACGGGACTGGGGCACCTACACATCCCTTGCAGAGAAATTCGGTTGCACCAGATGCAGGCACCAAACCCTGAGTTCAAACGCGTTGTTTCACCAGCGTGGCCCTTGCACCATGCAGGTGACACGGCTGCTGGGTGGAAATTCTGCTGTGGCTTGAGTGTGTAAGACAAAAAGGCACAATAGCAGCACCTCCCTCCTCACCCTGGCTGGTGCAGGGAGGAAAAAACAACTCCTTGCACCCCTTCCTTCAGTGAAGGCATTTGAAGGGCTGTGGGTAGGTCTGGGAGAGCAGGGGCTTCTCCTTCTGTCTGCATTAGGGAGCTGTAATGTGTCCAAACCCCTCTTCTTGGGTGCCAAAGTGTGTTCCCAAATAGGCATCACCAGAAGCTGAAAGCATCAGAGTGGTTTTTAGCCTTTGAGTCCCCAAAGTGGTGTTGCACGGTATGGGGAAGGAACTCACTCATCTACCCTCTCCTCTCCCAAATCACCCATCACCGATAGCCACTCAGGGTTGATGGCACCCTCGGGACCCTGCACCCTACCCTGTGTCTCCAGCCACCTGTGGGGGCACACACTCGAACAAAGCCCCCCACTACCTTGAAAAGAGGTGGATTTAAGCATGTGCTTGTGGAAACAGCTGTGCAACGGATCCTTTGGGTAGGAAACCAAGGAGAAAACATTGCCATTATCTCCTGGGGACCCAACTCGCTGCAGGGCATTGCACGGATGGGACCCTCACACCTGCACCACCTGCTGCCAGATAGTTCCAAAGCGGCTGCTGGTTTTGGGTGCTGGTTTTGGGGAATGGTGCGGGGCTCCCAACCTGCCGTCGGCATCCAGCGCCTGCGGAAATCATGCCGAGGCTCCCCAAAAGCCCCCAGAGCTGCCAGGCAGAGCCTGGAAAAGAGGGTTTGGGGGCTAGGTCTAGGTGGAGCTAAATCCCAGTGGCGTAGGCGAAGGGGATTCTGCAGAAGAGCTTATTTCCAGGGCCGTGGGCTGCTATTCGCACGTCAGGCACTGCCAGGGCACTCGGCTCTGTGCCATGCTTGGCTTTCGTGGGAAGGCAAGAGCTGATGGGAGGTTTGCAGAGTCTACACCATGCTCTTGGCATCACTGCCAGGCTGTCCCGGTCCTCACACCACAGCGGCGGTGACACCAGCTTGGCATCATCATGGCTTGAGGCTGGGGGGACCTTGATGTTTCAGGGTGAGCTGCCGAGAATGAGGGGCCCCTGGGCAGGGATGAGGACTTAGACATCCCTGATGCAGGAGAACCAGGAGCACAGTGATGGGGTGAATGCATGAGGGGAACTGCAGAGTGGGGAAGGAAATTGGAGGTAATGCTTCATTGGTGGGGGAGCGCTTGCACCTACCTCTACACCAGGAGCTGCTGGTGGTGCCAGGGAGGTGTCTGGTAAAACACACCACGTGTTAATTAATAATGGAATACTCGTGATTAGATTGTTAGCTAGATGGAGGAGACAGGGCCCAGCCCAAGGCTGCAAGTTGGGAAGGAGCTGGCAGGCTTGTGGTGGTGGGAAATGGGAGCTTCAAACTGAGGACTAACTGCCTTCAGTGTTTTTAGTTAACAAAGCCAGAACAAAATGATTAGGAGGAAATACGGAGAGTCAGAGGATGCCTCCAGTTCAGCTGAGGACCTGCAGAGTGTGTGGGATGGGCCATGCGATGTGCGAAGATGGATGGATGCAAGGATGGAGATGTGCTAGAGTGGGAGGCGGGCCTGGAGGCTTCCCTCACCACCTCTCACCCTGTGCAGCCACCATGGGCTGCTGCTGCAGCTCGGACTATGATGAGGACTGGATCGAGAACATTGACATTTGTGAGCACTGCAACTACCCCATCGAGACCAACAGCAAGCCCCAGGTAGGAGGGAGTGAGCAGACCCTCTGCCCCGCATACTGGTGGCCAAACACCTCCAGAGGTAGCCAAACCCCAGGAAGGTGAGAGCTCACAGGGCTCCTCATCCCTTGGCAGAGGCTGATCCGCAATGGCTCCGAGGTGCAAGACCCACTGGTGTCCTACGAGGCCACGTCTCCACCGTGCTCCCCACTGCAAGGTATGGTCCAGCCATGGCAGAGGACAGCTGTGGATACCCCTCCAGTTGGGTACTGCCACCCTGTCCCTTTGCCTGTCCTCCCAGATAAACTGGTGGTGGCCCTGTACAACTATGAGCCCAAGCACGACG